AAAAAAAAAAAAAAAAGGCCACCAGGATTTTCATTGAGACTCCACTAAACGTATAGAACAATTTGGGTGAAGTGACATTAATAATGAATTTTCTGATTTGTAAACATGACGTATCTCACCCTATATTTAGGTCTCCTTTAATTTCAGCAATTTCTTGTACTTTTAAAAACTAACAGATGAGTTTTTTAAGAGCAGCTTTAGGTTTATAGCAAAATTAAGTGGAAGGTCCAGGGAGTTCCCATGTACTTATTGTCCCTAACCAATCTCCCGCCCACAACTTCCCCATCAAAATCCTATATCACGGTGGTATGCTTGTTACAGATGATGAACCTATATTGACACATCATTATCATTGTCAAAGTCCACACTCTACAATTGGTTTCACTCTTCGTGGTGAATATTCCATGAGTTTTGACAAATGTAAAATGATATATATCCACCATTATAGAACCATAGACAGTAGTTTCACTGCCCTAAAAGTCCCTGTGCTTCACCTATTCTTTTCTCCTCACTAACTCCCTGGTGGTATTTGATCCTTTTAGTGTCTCCATAGTTTTGTCTCTTCTAGAATGTCATGTAGTTAGCATCACAGTATATACAGCCTTCTCAAATTGACTTCTTTCATTTAGCAATATGCATTTAAGTTTTTTCTGGATCTTTTCATAGTTGGAGAGCCCATTTCTTCTTGAGTATCGTGTAATATTCCATTGTCTTGAATGTATCGGTTTATTTATATAATGAAGGACACCTTGGTTGCTTCCAAGTTTTGGCAGTGACGAATAAAATTACATTTTATATGATTCTATTTTCTTTCCTTTCTTAGCCTATCAGTTATACTTCTTTTTTAGATGGTTCCCTTAGAGTCTATATGTTTACAACGAATCCAAAACTACTGGCAAATAACACTATGCTGCTTCACAAGTAGGGCAAGTACCTCCCAACAACAAAATATTCGTAATCTCTCCTGCCTTTGCCTTGTATCATTGCTATCATTCATTTCATTTAAACAAACACACACATACATAAATACACTGTTGCCATTCTTTCCAACAAACTCGTCAAATCACTTGATAAGATGAATAAAAGCTTGCGCTCTACCTTTGCTTATTACGTCTCCGACAATCTTCTTTTCTTTCTGTAGATCTGCTTTTCTGATTTATTTTCCTTCTCTGTAAAGAATTTTTAACATTTCTTGCAAGGCAGGTCTACAGGCAACAAGCACACTAAACTTTTGTTTGTCTGAGAAAGTCTGTATTTCTCCTTTGATACTGAAGGAGAATGTCACAGAGTACAGAATTTTAAGTTGGTGGTTTTTTGTTCTCTCAACATTTCACTCCACCCTCTTTGTGCTTACATCATTTCTAAGGAGAAGTTGGAGGTAATTCTTATGTTTGCTCAACTATGGGTAAGGTGTTTTTTTCCTCTGGCTTTTTTCAAGATTTTATCTTTGATTTTCGGGATTTTAAAAATCATATGCCCAAATGTAGGTGTTTTTTTTTTTTTTAAAATATTTATCCTGCTTGGTGTTTTCTGAGATTGCTGGTTCTGTGACTTGGTATCTAACATTAATTTGGGAGAAATTCTTCGTCATGATTGCTTGAAATATTACTTTTACTCCTTCTATCAGCCTCCTCCCCTTTTCTATCCTTCTGGTGTTCCCATTATGCTTATGTGCCTTCGTTTGTAGTTGTCCCAACTCCTTGGAGATTTCTGTTGTCTTTTTCTCTTTGCTTTTCTGTTTTCAAGCTTCTATTGTCATTCTCAAGCTGGGTGAAGCTTTCCTCAGGGATGTCTATTCTAATAAGCCCATCAAAGGCATTCTTGTTGCTGTTTTGATCTCCAGCACTTCTTTTTCATAAAATTTCCAGTACTCTGCTTCCATTATCTACCTGTTCTTGCATTTTTTTCTACCTTTTTTTTCATTAAAGCCCTTAGCAAAGTGGTAATTTTTCAAAATTCCTAGTCTGATAGTTTGAACATTTCTGACTCTGCTTCTGATGCTTAAGTCTCTTCAAATCGTGTTTCTTGCCTTTTAGTGTGTCTTGTGATATTTTGTTGTTGAAAGGGGGACATGATATACTGGGTGAAAGGAACTATGATAAAAAGGAAGTTGGTGATGCATTAATAAGACGGGGCAGGGAGGGGAAGCTTCTACTGGTCCTGTGATTAGCTCTCAGCTTTTAAGTAAGCCTGTGCCCTTGGAGTGTGGACTTCACTTCACCAGTGCTTCTCAGTCCCCGACACCCTTCAGGCGGGACAGGATGGCTGGAGCAGGTGGAGTTGGGTATTTACTTCCTCCAGATGGAAGGCCAGAGGGAGCAGGAACTGGACATTTCCTTCCCCCCAGGTAGGTTAACTTCTGGTAACAGTTTCTCTCTAGGACAGGCCTTGTCAAGAACAGAGTGCTCTGGTGTATTTTAGAAGCTTCCTTTCACCATCCGCCTCTATAAGCACGAGGGGATTTTTCTCCAGTATTCACCGTAAGGCCCTGGCAAAGCCCCACCTGGAGTTGCTAACTCTTGATTTGTCTACACTGAGCCTCCAGCAATTACAGTTTAGGTCTTCCTACCCTGGGACTGGTTCCCACGGAGTCTTCTGCTCTAGTTCCTGGATGTCGTGATGAATATTTCTGCCTGTTGTCCTCTCCATTGGGGGGGGGGGGGGGGGGACGTTGCTCTGTGACCTTACTTCTTCTCTAGTGGTTCTAACAAGAGCTGTTGATTTTTTCAATTTGTTCAGCTTTTTACTTGTCGTTAGAAAGGAGTGACGACTCCCTGCATGCTGGATCACAAACCTGATATCTACTTTGTAGTTTTGAAATTAGGTCTTACAGATATTTTAGTAATCTTAGCCCTATGTATATGTCAAAGAACATTATTGTAAATAGGATGGATTTTAAATTTGAAATTCCAACTGTCTGTGGCCTGTATGCAGAAACACTGTATTAAACAGGACTTATGTAACATATATACACACATATACATATACACACACACACACACACACACCATGTAATATAGAGGAAC